ATACATACATACATACATACATACATACATACATACATACATACATACATACATACATACATACATACATACATACATACATACATACATACATACATACATACATACATACATACATACATACATACATACATACATACATACATACATACATACATACATACATACATACATACACACACACACACACACAACCTCCATCCCAAATTCTTTGTCCTCTTTCAGAAGATGCAAAATCTCATCTTTTTTAAAATAATTTTTTATAAGTTTGTATGAAAATAAAAATATACCAAAAATTCTACAAAACAAGTAGTGGCAAGCCTATGGTATTCTATCAAATAATCAATGAAAATGCATACACAAACAAAAGTTATCGACAGACCCACGCTGTAACTAGGCCAAATAATTTAGGACGGAGGATGTGTGTGTGTGTAGACACACACACACAAATATATATATATATATACACACACACACACACATACATATATATATAGACAACTGTTTGCATTCTGAACGTCCCGTGTTTGCATTTGACCGTCCGCTGTCTACCTCTCGCCTTGAAAAACTATGCTCCTAGGCACCCCTTCTCTTGGAAAAAACGCAATGGCTGTTTAGTCCATGGTCCAATCAAAGACCTTACCTTCCTATAATCCTTAAGCCTTGGACGTTTAGTCTATGATCCATTAGTATTGGGTCTTAGCCGTTTAGTCCAACAAAATTCAAGCCTCTAGCCTAAACAGTCCTAGTCAAGAGCACTTCATGGGAGATATCAAAATCGCAGAGTATTAAGTGACACTCTAATTTGGCACATATTTATTGGTTGATGATCAGGTGTCTGACTTTTCAAAACCCAAACATTTTCATGTCTCATTTTCATGTCCTTCTAAGTGACTTAGTAATGTCTCGTTTTCATGTCCTTCTAAGTAACATAACAATATCACTTAATAATGTCTCATTTTCATGTCCTTCTAGAGTTTTTGCAAGTTAATAACAGGAAAAATAAACAAAAAAGCAGGTAATTGTCAAGTCCCTAACAAACAAGTTCACCAACTCGCATTTACTTTTGAGAACAACCTAAGTGATTAACATTTGAATATTTTTAATAATATTGACTATTAACTATGAAAATACTAACACAATAAGCTGCTATTGAATACGGAGTAATATTTTTAACATGCTGAAATTAAGTCTTTACATTTTGATATTTTTGAATATTGTATCATTGATTATTAACTTTGAAAATACTAACACTAGAAGCTACCATCATTGAATAATATTTTTAAAATACAAAAATTAATTTCAATTGGTACTTGGTAGCTAACCTTAACCTATAAATTAATTTCAATTGACATGCTACCAACAAAAACCGAGTATTAAATTCTGGACTCTGGAGAGTTACAGGTTTGGATTTATGTTAAGCTTCTACGTATTGACGAAACAGATTACAAATCACAGTAAAAGTAAACAGGACTCACATTTGATGGTGATTGATGATAACTACCGATCAGGACAATTGCGACAGAAAAAGGCAGCCGGAGACAATTTGCAGTTACATCGCGCCGCCACTAAGGCGGGCGAAGTCAATAGAGCCGCCGCGTGAAGAGGAAGCAGCGATTGTGTAGAGCCTAATATCCGACTACTCCTGTGATTACAAAAAAAAGAATTTTAAAGATAGGGAATCTAAGAGTCCGTATCGCAGATAGTATAAAATTTAGAAACCAAACCTGGGAAGATTGCCGGAAAGGAAGCGGAGAGACGGGAGGCGCTGAAAGAGGACCGGTTGCGAGCGGCGGAAAGTGGAGGTTCTGGTTGCTGTAGAGAGAAGAGATCTGGAGAGCGATCCGTAGCGCCCAGCCATGGATGAGCGAAGAAGGAAAGGCGGGTTTGGTTTCTTGGACTACCACGACCCGTATTCCGCACTGACCAATTTGGGCGAACACGATATTGCTATTTGATCTCGGCCCATACCCGCCTGCCCAATCCGTACCTCTCCACGGATGGAATTATTCGTCCCAAAGCCCGATAAGTCCGATGACCAGTTTAGTACCGAGTATAAAATTGGATGTTTCTATTCGATTTAAAAGAAATAGACCATAATTTTGTGGATAAATTGATTTTTACAAAGTCTGAAAGCAAAAAACATCACATAACTGTTTTTCGAAACCACGTTCTATATATAAAATAATGGTGGAAAAACGCAGAAGCTGACATGTCAAATAAAATAAAACTACTACACTCAAAGCAGAAACTAAATTTTTAAAAACAGTGTACCGCCAAACACCCTCTAAATTGCATAATTCACCCAAATAAACCCAAGTTATGTTCTTATGCTGAGATAAACCCACTGGTTTATTTTAATTACTCTGTTTTATAAACAGATCCTAGTTTGACTGTTATGAGAAATAAAAAGTGTAAATATTTGTGGTTGACTTTCCGATTTTGTCTTTAATGTGATAAATATAAATAAGATATGATAGATATATTATTAGTGAAAAAATATAAAAATGTAGCAGGTAGGTAACAAAAACTAGGAGTAAAAGAGGTTTTTTTTAATAAAATTAAAGTGTTTTGAGGAAAACAAAAAAATGTAAGAGAATGTGTTTTAAGAAATCGAGGGAGCATTATTATATGATTAAAAAACATGTAATTTAATATGAGACGACGAAAAAATCACGTGACTGTATGAGAATTTAATTTAGAGGTGAATCACCTTCAAATTATGTCAAATCAAATGAAATAAACCTTAAAATTTGGAATGGTTACTCATTTTAGGATTTACCGGCTGAATGTTTGATTGGACATAGATAACTAAAGTTAGGGGATGTTTGGCAACTTCTGAATAGATAAGTACTGAACCAGTAAGAGGTCTGAACCATTAAGTGCTGAACCATTAAGAGCTAGTATATTGCTTAACTATTCAAAGGCAAATGTCTGATCAATTCAGATAAGAGGTCTTAACCATTCAGACTCTATATAATACTTAACCATTCAGAGGCGAGCTATTCAGACATCTGAATCATTAAGAGGCTGAAACAAACAGTCTGAACCATTAAGTGTTGAACCATTCAGACATCTGAATCATTAAGACGTTGAAACAAACAACCCCTTAGACGTTTGATCTATTATAAAGTAGAAGATAACTACCTAAAATGATGTTGCATTGTATCAAGTGGTATTCGATAAAAATACCTCAAATATGTATAAATGACACATTCTAGCAATTAGCCAATTACTCCCTCTGTTTCGAAAAAGGGTTCCTATTTTGATTAATAGGTGAAATAAGAGTATATATTTGTAGCTGACTTTCGAATAGGGATGGCAATTCCACCCGAACTCGAGCTTAACCGACTCGACCGAGCACTAAAATATCCGAACCCGAACTGAGAATAAAATAATCCGAACCCGACCCGAATTTTTTTACCCAAACCAGACATCGGGTCGGGTCGGGTGTGGGTTTATAATTTTACCCGACCCGACCCGACTCAAACCCGAATATTTAATACGGAGTAACATAAAAGCCTATCTATGGATATAATTAGCACTTCGTATAATCTCTTAACAACGTGCTACTAAATCAAGTATGGTTTTTTAATCATTTTTTATAATTCTTAATAAAAAATGAGACACAAAAAAGAGACACAAAAAAAAATTAGATTTAATCTTTTTAAAATTATTGGGGTACGTCGAATTGATTATTGGTTAAAAGTCGGGTTCGGGTTTTGGATTGAAATGCCGGGTTCGGGTCGGGTCGAGTTTTTGGCTTAAAATATCGGGTTTCGGGTCGGGTTCGGGTTTCGGTTTTAAAAGTCGGGTTCGGGTATAGTACTATCCGACCCGAACCCGACCCATTGACATCCCTACTTTCGAAGTTTGCCGTGATAGATAGATGAAGTAAAATATGATAAATAGAGAAGAAGTATGATTTGATACGTGGAGTAAGAAAAATTAGGAGTGAAAATATTTTTTTAAATAGAAAGTGGAAGTTTTTTAGAAAAAAAATGAAAGAGTGAGCGTTTAAAAAAATAGTGGGAAAATTAAAACCCATTGAAATGCAAGTAATTGAGTAAGTGCTAGGAATATGAAATTGAAACATTTTTATGGGTTGCTTACCATAGCATTTTATATGGATTGTTTTGAAAAGTCTATATTGTCCCTCCCTGACAAAAATGCATGTACTACATGTATATGTAACTCACACCATTTTCACATGCAATAAGCCATTTGAGTAATTTATTCCCTATTATTGGCCATATTTCCCTATATATATGAACACGAGCTAGCAAGGAATAAGTAGTACAGGTAATAATAAGATGACGGAAGTATTAGGCACTTTAGTGTACGCATTTGTCTCTGTAATTTTCCTCATAGCAGCTCTGAAACGTCTCATGAGGAAGAAGAAGAAGACTGATAACTATTCCAATTCTAACCTCCCTCCAGCCCCATACCCGAAGCTCCCAATCCTCGGCCACCTCCACCTCCTCAAACCCCCGATGCACCGCAGCCTCCACAGCCTCTCCCTCAAACACGGCCCCATCTTCACCCTCCAGCTCGGCGTCCGCCGCGCCGTGGTGGTGTCCTCCCCCTCCGCCGTGGAGGAATGCTTCACCAGGAACGACGTCGTCCTCGCGAACCGCCCCGGCACCATGGCCGGAAAGTACATCGGCTACAACTACACCATCGTGACCGGGTCCCCCTACGGCGACCACTGGCGCAACCTCCGCCGCATCTGCTCGCTGGAGCTCTTCTCCGCCGCCCGCCTCGCCGCGTTCCAATCCGTCCGCCGGGAGGAAACCGGGTTCCTTTTGAAGAATCTGCTCCAGATCTCGAGTCAGGGGATTGGGGCGGCGGTCGAGCTCAAGTCCAAATTCTCCCAGCTGTCGTTCAACGTCATGCTGAGGATGATCGGCGGGAAGCGGTGCTACGGCGTGGAGGAAGACGGGGAGGCGGAGAACTTCCGGGAGCTAATAAAGGAGGTGGTGAAGTACGGCGGAGCATCAAATCCGTGTGACTTTATCCCGTTCTTGAGGTGGATCGATTACAAGAAGATGGAGACGAATTTGAAGAGGGTGAGTGAGAAGATGGATTCGTTCTTGCAAGGACTGGTTGATGAGCACCGCCGCGACAGTGGCCGGAACTCCATGATTAATCATCTGCTCTCCATGCAGGACTCCCAGCCAGAGTATTACACCGATCAAATCATCAAAGGCCTAATGATGGTAATTACTAATTAATTAATTAATTACTCGCACGCTCACTCAACTTATAAACGTTCATTCATATCATAGTCTATAGGCGTAATGAAACGAAATAACGACTCCACATGACCATATCATCCCTATGACATAGAGTTTTAAGGTCATTAGAAACATCTTCACACATTATATCTATTCACTTGTAATCTATTTATTAGATAGTACTCTTATCAATCATATCAAGGATAATTTGGAAAGATAACACAAAAATATACGGAGTATTTACTTTAGATTTCATAAAAGTCAAAATAGAAAATGGATTTAGAGACAAGGGAAGTGTATAGTACTCCGTATGTGTTTCGGAGCAAGTTTTGGTTGACCTCGTTTGTAAATTTTTTATCTACAAATTCATTTCTATGAAGATAGTTATACTATCCAAGAAAATTCATAATGAAAAATTCGCCCATGATGAGGGACAAGCTGATGTGAATATCTGATCCAGCATTTTGACTTTAAGATATTTCAAATCAGATATACTTAAAAAGTTGAGACGAACATTGATTCAAATTTTAAATTTTAGAATATTCACGGATATCCAAAATAATTATTTTACAAAAATTACTTGTTAATATAAAATTATTAAAACTAAAACATATTGTATCCACTCATATTCTATATCTTTTTAATGAAAAAAAGTTATTATGTTTTGCAATAGATTCAAACATTGAAAGGTCATACCCTATTTTCATATTTTTAATTTTATTTAAAAATGGATTTCAAATAAGCATTTTATTTATTGTGGGAATATGTCAATTTTATTGTCATTTCTAAGACTTTGATGTTTTGTTTTTAATAAGTTAACATTTAAGACACAACTTAGGCCTAACTGTCCTCTTCTTTTGGGTTGGAAGAATTAAATTCTAACTTCTTCCAATCTCTTTATATTTCTTCCAACTCTTTCCGAATTCTTCTAAATTTTTCTAGATTTTTCCAACAACGATTCAAAAAAATATTTATATATGACTAATATAAAATAACATTATATATATATATATATATATATATATATATATATATATCTAAATTTATAATATATCTCTCAAACACGGATAATGATGAAGTTTTTTAATCCAAAATTAGATACTTCTTACATATTTATTTAGATGATCATTTAATTAAGTGACTTTTAACACTTAACTTCTTGTAACATTTTCAACTCTTTTCCCAATTTTACCCAACTCTTAGTTTCTTCTAACTCTTTCCAGTTTGTTCTAACGTCTAACTCTGAAATTCAAACCCAAAAGAGCAGAGTCTAAATAACATGTAATGTATGATAGAGTTTTTCATATTAAATACAATAAATGTTAGTGCTTGGATACTCTATTGATCCAAAATTTCGAATATCAGATTCCTTATATCATGAGATTTCAAATTAAATATAGAATGATATTCGTCGATCCGAAAATACTGGATATTCGAATTAGTTGATTGGATGGGATTGATCCAAATTAACACCCATAGACTCTATAAGGAATTCATACCAAATACGGAGTAGTATCTGGTTTAACTGTTTTTAAACATAATGAGCTTGCTGTTTCAAAAAAAAAACATAATGAGCTTGCAATGTAATATGGAGTAGGATTTAGTCTATTTATAAAGGATTATTCGCTTGAAAATTCTTACATCATGTATTGGTTTAGCTCTTGAGTAACGCTACCTTGATCCCAAAAATGTAAACCTCATCTTTAACCTCATTGTGACAAACCTTACAGACGTTCACATACACAGAACAATGTCGAATGTTTGTGAATGTATGTAAAATTTGTAAAGGCATGAAGTTAAAAGTGATATTTATATTTATTAAAGAAGAACTAGTCCCGGGTCAATCTGATATTTCCAGGTTTTTTGGGTTTTGGGGGGTTGGACCGGACCGATTATGTGTCGGAGGTGCGGTTCAACTGGTCGGATCATCCGGTCCAATTCCGGTTTAATAAATTAATAACACTATTAGAAACAGGAGAAGTCCAACTGCAAACGTGGGTAGTAAATGATGATTAGTCTCCATAAAATGGCAGGTGATGTTACTGGTTGGATCGGACACTACGGCGGCGACAATGGAGTGGGCATTATCCATCCTGCTGAACCATCCAACGGTTCTACACAAAGCCCGGTCCGAGATCGACGGCGTGGTGGGACCAGACCGGGTGATGGACGAAGACGACCTGCCAAAGCTGAAGTACCTTCAGAACATAATCACGGAGACGCTCCGGCTGTTCCCGGCGGCGCCGCTTCTGGTGCCGCACTACTCGTCGGCCGACTGTAAAATAGGCGGGTACGACGTTCCGCGGGGCACGATGTTGCTGGTCAACGCGTGGGCCATCCACAGGGACCCCAACCTGTGGGAGGACCCCACGAGCTTCCGGCCGGAGAGGTTCGACGGCGGCGAGCACGTGGAGGTAACGGAGCTCCTGCCGTTCGGAATGGGGAGGAGGTCGTGCCCGGGGGCCGGGCTTGCCCGGAGGGTCATGGGGTTGGCTTTGGGGTCTATGATACAATGTTTTGAGTGGGAGAGGGTTGGGGCAGGGGAGGTGGATTTGGGTGAAGGGGTAGGGGTGACCTTGTTCAAAGCTGAGCCGCTTGTCGCCAAGTGCAAGCCCCGCCGGTTCGCTCACAGCATACTAGTGTCACACAACACCTAGGCTTGGCTACACATTGTAAAATAATTGTAATAATTGGTGTATGTATCTCTTTGGAATAATACTTGTTGAACAAAATATAGACATGTTCTTTTCGTTTTATTTTAGAGAAATTTACACAAATACGATCTAAACAAGACTATTTTCCACAAATACAACTAGTCATACTAACTTAAACGTTTGCGGTGCGAAAGTACAAAAATGTCCCAAAAATTAAAGAAGAAAGATGCTGCATAACCTGCATTTATAGGGAATCCAAACCGTAAAGTGAAAAAAATTCCGGCTGATTTTGCAAGAACTAGAAGCTTTCATTCTATATTTAACAAGAGTTAGGTAAGAGTTATAGAAATCACCCTAAATATGACTAAAACATAGAGAAAAGTATCAAAATAAGACTATCATGTTTTTTTTTTCCGAAATAGGACTTTGCACTGTGGTAATGTGACTTTGCATTGTGGTAATGTGACGATGTATATGTGCACATTACTATACGTTTTTGGTAATTGGATCTTTCTCCCTAAAAGTTATCCAAATCGTAAATGCTCCAAGTCATTATATCATCTACTCTCTTGTCATAATGTCCACACATACACCAAGTCATATTACTAAAATGTCTTTACTTCATTGAAGAAACACTAAGGCAATATAAAAAATTCATTTGCAAGTCATTTTCAAAATATATTTTAATTTTCAATGATCATATTTGTCCAGTCATTGATATTTTATGTCATAATCAAAAATAGTATTCTACTAATGACCATATTAGTGTAGTCATTAAAATCAAGAGCCATTAATTCTTTTTTAAAGGTAGTCCGTAGGAGATATTAATGGGTGATTATCTCATCAATATGGAATTAAATGTTAACAAAAAAAAGAGGAAAACGACTAGGTTCGGAGGAGAAGATGGAATTTTGCGTAAACAAGATGGAATTGTGTGTTACTAGATTTAGGGGCTGTTTGTTTCAGCTTCTTAATGATTCAAATGTCTGAATGATTCAACACTTAATGGTTCAGACTGTTTGTTTCAGCCTCTTAATGGTTCAGAAGTTTGAATGGTTAAGAGATTTGCCTCTGAATGGTTAAGTATTATACAGAGTCTGAATGGTTAATATCTCTTATCTGAATTGATCAGACATTTGCCTCTGAATAGTTAAGCAATATACTAGCTCTTAATGGTTCAGACCTCTTACTGGTTCAGCACTTAATGGTTCAGACATCTTACTGATCCAGCACTTACCCATTCAGAAGTTGCCAAACAGCCCCTTAGAGTAACTCTTTCCCAAAATATATGAGATATTAATGGGTGATTATCTCACCAATATGGAAATAGATATTTGCAAAAAAAAAAGAGGAATTGAAAAACAGTTGTGTTAAGCCACGAGGGCGTGCATGGAAGATCATACAAAAATATGTCATAAATGGAATAAAACATAATTAGTCATATTCAACGATAAATATTATCTTTTAGTCTTATATGAAAAACATTTTTCTTTATTTTAAATCGGACTATGGAGTTTGAAAGTTGATGTCTAAAATTTGGTACCGGATAACCTCAAAATGCAAATTGGATTAAACTTTAAAATAAGGAGATTAAATTACAGTTGTTTTCGTTCGTCAAAATTTAATACTTGGGTAGTTTACCTAAATAAGACTAAAACATAATGACTTTCTCAAAATAGGATCATATGTTTTTATTTTCCAATGTAGATTGGTCATTATCTATATATTAGTCATTATTCAACTAAATGTCCAGCATTACATGGACATTATTCTTCTCACTAGTCATTATTAAGTCCTATTTAGGGAATAAAATATTTTAAGTTTTACATTGGAAAATGACTTATATTTTAGTTCTATTCACTGAAATTTCACTTAATACTTAACATCCAAAATGTCAAATCTACATTTGTCTAGAAACGAAAAACTCAAGTCTAATGGTTTTAGCAAAATAAGACTTCCATGTTTTTATTCTCGAAATAGGACTTACATTACCAAGAAAGTATAGTAATTTGTACATGTAGACTGCCACATTACCACAATGCAAAGTCACATTACCACAATGCAAAGTCCTATTCCGGGGAAAAAAATGAAAGTCTTATTTTGGTACTTTTCTCTAAATTTTAGTCCTATTTAAGATGATTTCTAAAAAAAATATTGACTTGCTATTTCATAGATTTTAGCAAGACAAAATGAGATGGTTGGAGATGCTCTTAGTGACAAAAGAGATTAGGATTTTTAATTAAGATATGCATGCTTCACTAAGCAACTAATTTATAAAAAACACAATCAATATTTCACATGTGTTTCACATACATCCCAAGTCACATTTTTCAGAGAAATAATTTTTTAAGAACCTGATGTTTTAATGGACCACTATATGACATTTGCAATTAAGCTCCCATGCATTGCACTTTATGTGTAAATAACTGTATTAATATTGAGTAGTGACTAATAACCCGATCCATACTCTGATAGGCTAATTGCTAATCCTTTAATATAATAAAGGAGACTCGGATGGACAGAAATTCGACATTTGGCATGTCTATTTGGCAACATTTAAACATGTCAGCACGCTACGTAATATCCAAGTAAACCAGCGGAAATAAATTATATATGATGCACCAGCGGATCTCCTGTTGGAAACAATTGTATAATTGTTGATTTATCTAGGTATGCATATAGCTCACCGATTATTTTTTATCAATTTTATATTTACATCAATAGGAATAAAATGATGTCTAACCATGACTCTTTAATTTCATTTGTCTATATTTTTTATGAAAAAAATAGTTTATACATATTGAATATTTTAAACAATTGAATGGACGAATATTAACAAAGTTGAGTAAAAACATATTCGTATTTAAAATCTTTTAAATAAAATTCAAAACTATGCAATAAATTTGATATGAAATGGGTGAATATAAAAAAATGTGAGTACATATTTTAAAACAAAATGATTTGCATGCGAGGAAAAAAAATTAGGCACTGATACAGAATGATCAATGTAAATAATTCAAAGTTCAAATATAATTTTTAAATTGGAAAGTTTACTTATATCTAACACGTAATTCATTTATCAAAATGGCAACTAAGCTGTGTTCAACTGAAATAATTGATACTCCATATATATATTCATAGTCAGAGGAATTTACCTAAATTATTCCAAAACATAATGACTTTCCCTAAATAGCAACATATGTTTTTTATTTCTCAATGTAGCACTTTTATAGTCATTATCCATTAGTCATTATTTAGACAAATGTTCACCGTTACAGGATATTATTTCTCCTTCTAGACATTATTAAGTATTATTTAAGGGATAAAAAGTTTAAGTCTTATTTTGGAAAATGACTTTTGTTTTAGTGTTATTTAGTGCAGATATGAAAAATAAAAAATTTGAAAAATTATATTGGGAAAAAGTTTGAAAAATGAAAAATGGAAAATTTGAAAAATGAAAAATGGAAAATTTGAAAAATGAAAAATTTGAAAAAGTTTAAGTCTTATATTGGGAAATGACTTATGTTTGAAAATATGAAAAATTATTCTTTTATGAGGATAGAGCACTATTGGCACCAACTCTCGAAGTAGTTGAAATGATAAATGAATTTGTTCTGTCCCTCATTCCTGGTGATGAAAAGGAGTACTTGAGTTCTGATTCTTCGTGCCAAGCAGAAGCAGATGTAGGTGTTGATGGCGATTGGATAAGAGTTGAGTTTTTGAACAAAATCAAATGTTTGGGAATCCCAAACCACAAAATAGTCTTGAAAAAAGGGGTACCGGTTATGCTATAGAAGAACATTGACCAAACATCTGGATTATGTAATGGGACAAGATTAATCGTTCATTAGCTGCTAAATAATGTTATCGGTGCAATTGCGGTTTCGGGAAATCGAGTCGGGGAAAAAGTTTACATCCCTAGAATGAATTTGGTATCATCTGATCTAGGGCTACCCTTGAAGTTCCAAAGAAGATAATTCTCGATTGCCTCATGTTTTGCTATAACAATCAACAAAAGTCAAGGTCAAACATTGTCATTCGTGGAATTATTTTTAACCAAGTTAGTGTTCACACATGGTCAATTATATTTTGTTGTTTCACGAGTGAAGACAAATACCGGATTAAAAGTATTACTTCTAGATGACAATAGAAACCCTTGCAATCATACCAAAAATGTTGTATACCCTGAAATCTTTCAGAAAAATTGGTATTAAAATAAACATTGTTAACTCTACATTCTGTTCCTCAAATATTATTTATTTTACTTTGGCTTTTTTTATTTGTAGTATTAAAAATCATGTGAGCAATATATTTACTTTATTCTGAAAAATAAATTTCATTAAAATAAATTCAGAATCGACAAAAAATTTTTTCGACCCCGTGCATGGCACGAGTCAAAATACTAGTATCAATATTGATTGCGACTATATATATATATATGAGTAAATGTGTAACTGTACTAATCCATTGGCTGGCTTTCCCAAATCATAAATGTGATAGGTCCAACAAACGATTGTGAGGACAATGGAGAATTTGTGGCAGAACCCACATTACTTGCTCTTCTACTGATCTACTCCCTATTTCGTACTTCCTTTTAAATATTAATGGGTCTACCTTACTCGGTATTTTTAATTTTTGAGTTGGGAAAATTAGTCGAATATGAAAATAAATTAGAACATATTATAAAAACCTTGAAAGAATAGAAAAAAAAACTGAAAAGTTGAAAAAAAAACAAAAAAAAAAGTTGAAAACGAGTGAGAAAATATTAGTAAAAACTTGTCTCTTTATACATTTTTTCAGAATTTGATTTTCTTGGTGTTGAGGTTAATCCTGCTTCTGAAGGCGTATTTTTATATCTAAGGCAACATATTTACAATATCTTTACCATTCAGCCCCATCTGACACCACGACCTATCAAAGTCTTTTTGGATTTGGTATGATGTGAGCAAATGATCTCAATTTATGCATGTTCCCAGAGTCACCCATATGCATATACAAAGCGTACTTTATGCTATTTTCGTGGCACTCTCTCATTGTCTATTTCTATGGGCAAAGGTGTCATTGCAACAATGGCTTGAGTCTGAATGGGGTGGATT